TGATCGCATAGTTTCGTAGCGGAGCACAGGCATTCAGCTAGTTAATAATATAGATATAATCCCAAGTAAATATTTCCTTATTAGATAAAAGATACTACATCTGGTTTCCTATGCATAGTTAACATTTTCATTCACTTATCTTTTTAAGAAATGTTTTTGAACCCAGACACCCAGAATTTGAACCCTAACTTCCAGAGTTCAGTATAAGTAGCAATGCTTTTCTGTTGTCTATTCTTAGTCAGTGTATAAATAGCAATAGCACTTAGACTTATATACTTCTTTACAGTGCTTTACAGCCCTCTCTACGTGATTTACAGAGTCAGCATACTGCCCCCAACAATCTGGGTCCTCATTTTACCGACCTCGAAAGGATGGAAGGCTGAGTCAATCATGAACTGCTGGCAGTCAGCAGAATTAGCCTGCATTACTGCATACTAACCACTGCATCACCACGACTCTTATGTCCAAGACTGGTCCTCCACTGATTGGAGTCACAGAATTCCCAGTCTTGAAATTACCCTGGTGCCTCATATGTAAAAACAACTACTACATCAATATTTGAAATATTCAATCAACTGAAATATAACCATTTAAATTACAACAGAGAAAATGCTAGAACATCTTATATTCTTGTAACATTATTTTATTTCCCAATCTTATTTCCTGCAAAAAGATTCCAAGAACAATTCTGTGCTGTTTAGGCAAGTTAATTTTTTTGCAAAATTATTAAATAATAATAAGTAGTCTATAGTTAGGAATGCAGCCTTCAAAATGAACAGGTTTCTTTCTTTTCTGGTGAGAGAAATAGCTTTTTTTTTTCTTTTATCTCCCCCCTCAGTAAATGACAACAAATAGATTGAACACTCAGTTCTCTTGAACATCAATCTGCGATTTCCAGCACTACCCATTGCTTGTGCTTATTTCTATCTACCTCTGAAATGACACAGCCTTGCCCAACCTGGATGCCTTCAGTCTGATCCAGGGCATTTATACAATGGCTTTGCTGGCTGGGGAATTCTAGTTATTGATCCACACATCTGAAGAATACCTACATTGTGGAGGCAAAATTGAACTTCGCTGCTGAAATAACTGTAGAGATAATATGGTATTGCCTTGGGAAAAACTATGTGATGGCTGTACTGTTACTAAAATATCCAATATACTAAGCCCATTCCTATATTCTTAACTCAGTGAAAATGGTAACTATCTTATAATCGTCTGACGGCTTTGCACTCTTGTACCTGATGCTTCATAAATCACATGCAGATCCTTTTCACTTTCCAGGTTCTAATAACTGCATGAGTAATCTCATTTGGGCCCAAATTTCTTAGAGAATCTTGTTATAGCCTTAGAAAAGTAATTTTTACAGCAGGGAGGAAAAAACTCAAGATCTATTGTACTTCCTCCTATCATGTTTTAAATCAATCTTCCATAGTCTAGCATCTGGTTGATGCATTGGTATTATAAATTCCAACATTCCCAACACTAGTTTGAGTATTTTAGAAACTACAATCTTATCTAGATTATTTTGATGTGAGCAAATTGTAAGGAACATTCCAAAGATGTAAATATTAATTTCCTAGATCATTGAAATTGCCATCAGCCTTCTATTGAACAGAAATTATTATTACAATAAAACTAAGTAGAATTATCATTTTTTACTCTAAAGCAGTTTTTCAACCTTAGCATTTAAGATGTGTGAACTTCAGCTCCCAGAATTGCTGAGGTTGAGAAACACTGCTCTAAAGGATGTTGCTATAGGTTCCAATTTGCTTATATGAATAAGGTAGCACCATGGTCAGCTCATTTGTGGCTTTTCTTTACAACTGCTCCATATTCCTACAGCTCTGCCATTTCTGCACAAAATAACCTTGAAATGTCTCATTTATAGGAACCCCACAGCATAGAATTGAAGTATTGATAGATAAATATTAAACACCCAGCCCAAATAACTGTTTATTCATTATTTTTAAAAGAACTAAACATACTGTATATATGAATAATACCTCACAAATAGTATTATGTTATAGAAACACAGAGTTAAGAAGTAACAGTGCCTTCAATGCTAAGTGATCAAAAACACAAAAAGAAGTTATTTCTCCTATCATGTCATTTTTCCTTCTGTTTATATCTAAATGGATTCTCACCTTGAAACAAAATCAATATAAAGAAGAAAATTATGTAAGAATCTCTACAAAGCTCGCATAAGATGACATGGTGTCACTAGTTTGAAGTCAGAGCCAACTGAATGAAGACCAACCTCTATCAATCATAATGTGTCACCATATCTATGCATGACAAAATTAAAATATCTGTGTTCTTCAAAGCTAAATAAAGTTCACAATTTCCTATATCACAACTAGATTTAAATAGAGCATTATTTCATGTGTGAATGGAGCTTTCAATAACTACATATCCATTTATAAACTCAATACCTTTTTAACCAGAAAATCTATGCTTCCTTTTTTTGAATATCTGCATAGCATGATTTCTGATTTTCTTTCCTACAATAACATGAATTTACTATTTAAAAAAATCAGGAATGTATGAAACAATTCAGAAGTTAAAAGCCTGTCTTGCTTTATGTTATTTCTTCCCCAGAATATTAAACAATGACAGTTTACAATGTAACCTTTCTTGGATTTGCATCCAGGGCTACAAATATTGTCTTTATGTATCTCACTGCTTTCAATGTTAATTAGTCTTACATAACTACATATAGATAAAAGTGGAAGATTGATATTAAAAATATTATTATTATTAAATTTAACCCAAGTGAGCTGTTCAAAGATCAATGATAGCTCTTCCTATGCTAGTTTAAAATCATCATTATCTGTATTTGAGTTTATTTGTTCATTTCAACATACAGTTGAGTGTGTGTGAAACATGATACTAAAAACTTTACAGTGTACATGAAGATAATCTGAGGTGATGTTAATAAAAGGTCCATCTCAGGGTTGTCTCTGTATGTATTCATGCATACTGACTGTAATTCGACACTGAAGTTATCAAGTGATGCATAGGAATTGGTTTTACTCTCCCTTTGCTAAAATCCCATTTTCCAAATGAAGATGAAAACATAGTGTTATGAATGTAACCTTAGGAAAATCTCACAGCTGTTTATTTGAACTTCAGATGAACATGGATATTATACACAGTTCAAAGCTTTTTAATAAAGCTTTTCTAAATTTGATATGAATAGAAAAATGTTCTATCTAAACATCTGCCTATCTCATTTTTAATCCTTATAATTTCATTTCCAAGTCATTTGCTCAAATGGGACAGAGATAATTTACTGGCAAATGTTCTATACTACACAAAAATAAGGACCATGGCCATTCCTACAAATCATCATTACCCATACGACCTTTCCTATTCAAAAGTCATGGCAATTGAAGATCACAGTTCTCCCTTTAATTGTTAACTCAAGAGAAAATGAGCCTCCAGCATTTATACCGTTGATAAAACAACCCATAAGAATAAGGGAAGCTTATTTGGTATCACTTAAGAAGAGTTAAAACCTTGAAATTCATCGGGAACTCTTATGGCAGGTACCTTGATAGAAAGCATCAGACCCAAGCATTACATAAGAAAATGCTGCCCCCTTCAGGCAAGGTCCAATATTGAATCAACATTTATTTGCCGCAAACACGTTCTCAGAAAACAATCAGCCTCCTATGTTTGCAGTGGGGGAAAAGCCACCCAATGATCGCACTTCATTTGGTCAATCCCACAACAACACTGAATTTAACCTAAGAACCTGCCTACTATGAATTCTGTACGGTCTGCAGCCATCGGCTTTCTCTCCCACTCTCTAACCGCGCGGATGGGAAAACCAGCATTTACAAGAAGAATTATGCATGGCAGACATACTCCGAACCACGAAGAGAAAAACTGCAGGATTAACTCTTTCGGGGCTTGCGCTGAATAGAATTCACAACTAAGTATTTCAGCTGCCCATAAGTCTCACTACTTTTCTTCTGGGCACTCCATGTTCTCTGTATACTGTGTGTCGGGGCTAGAAATATGCACCTGCCGTCACATTAGCTATTTATTTGTGCGGCTGGAGGACAAGGAACGAGGGATGCCGCAAAAGAGGCATCACGTCCAAGGAGGGTAGTTGATGCTATTGCTCTGGGAAGCCGGAAGAGCCGGCATCTTCTCTCCTCCTCCTCTTCCTCTTCCACACTTTGGCACACACCTTTTACGAAAGATGGGCAAACCTTCTCCCTCATTCCCTCTCTGTCGGTTCCGCTTTCCTCCCGCCTTTAAGCACTAGAAATCCGACTTCCTTCTCGCCCTTCACGAGTTCACAGAAAGCATCAAGTGGCGCTCCAAGTACGCAAAGGCTGCAGCTCACCTCAGTTATGCAGGTGGCCAAGCGCCTGCTCCAAGCTCACCAACCACAAATCCCTGACGTGTCTCTGTTGCTTAAATAACAGGCGGCGCTTTCTCAATATTGCTAAAGCTGCAGGTTTAGTCAATGCTGCTGGGCCAGAGGCAGCTACCCGGAGGCGGGGGGGGGGGGGAACAGGCAGAAAAGCAAAAATGCCAGCAAAAAACCAGCGGGGGGGGGGGGGAGGAAGGAGTGCAAACAAAACCTGAAGTGACTCCCTATAAAGCGACCGGAATTCGTTCCCAACGACTTTTCTGCTTCACATTATTCCCATTGGCGGCCGACCACAGTTGCAGGAGCAGATGGTCATAACAACACTCTGGGGAGAGATAACCTACACCAGCGCGGCTCCGTTTTGAACAACTGGAACCCTTTCCACGTTCATTTCCCTTCCCGTGTTAGGAGTCTCGGTATTTCTCTCCGAGGCCAACTCCTGCCGTACGAAGTGGCATTATAAAAGCCAAGTGGCAAGGACGCACAACCACAGACCGGCATCCCATCGGCCCCGTATCTCACAATCAAGGACAACGACGTTTCCCTCCCAATCCAATGCCGAAAGGCGCCCGGCGCTGGCCACCCAGCGAGTTGCCTTCCCCTCGCTCACCTCAGTGTCGTAGTAGCGCAGGTCCAGAGAGTAGGGGTTGAGCAGCGATTCGTTGAGGATCTGCTCCATTGCCAATTGCATAGCCGGTAGGACCCCCCGGCCGATCTTGCCCTTCTCCACCGAGTCGCTCAGCGGCATTAAGCCCATGATGGCGATGGGGGTCGTAGGGGAAGAAGCGGCGTTGGGGGAGAACCCCGCCAGTCCCCGAGAGTTGCTCCGCGCCCAAGCGAAGGAGAACAGCGGCAGGAGAAGCAAGGCGGAAGGGATGGCCGCGCTCGGCCGCCAGGGCAAGGCAGGCATCCTGCGGGGGAACGTCAGGGGGAGAGCAGGAGCGGGGCGCCCGCTGCCCTCCGCCGAAGAGAGGGGAAGGGGCGCGCGCGCTGCGGCCCCCTCGGTACGATCCTCCCGGCAATGGCGCCTGCTCTTTCCTCGGGGTGGCTAAAAGGCAACCACTCTGAAAAGCAGCAGCGGTAGCGGCGGCGAAGCAGCCGCCGCCGCCACCCCCTTCCTCCCACCCCCAGTCCAACAAGAATGAGAGCACCTTCTCAGCCCCTCACTCCACCACAGCCAGGCTGGGCCAGGGCGCCCTCAGGCTTCTTGGCGCAGGATCCCAAGCCGGCGCGTAAAAGCCAGGAGGACCGAGGGGAACATGGGGGTAGGGAGTAGGGGGGAAATCTTCGCTCTTCCAGGCTGGGGAGGCTACTGCCGCATTCCCCCGGAGCCTTCCCGACGCCGTGTTGGTCGCTGCTGCTGGTGCTGCTGCTGCTAGTGCTGCCGCCGCCGCGGCCGTTGCTGCAAACAGACACCGCGCCACACCACACACGGCGCGCACAAGTGGCGCGCACAACCGGCGAAAAAGAAAGAGGCAGGCGCGGCAGCTCCGGAATATGGGAAGCCGGAGTCCCTTCGCGGACTCGCCCCTGGTGTGCTGTCACTTGGCTTCGGTCGCTCGCCTGGGTCCGCCTTTCGTATCCGAGACAGGGCTCCTTTCCTTGCCGCCACCGCTGCTGCTGGTGGTGGTGGTGCCGCTGCCGCTGCTGTCGCCGCCGCTGCTGCCGCTGCTCCTGCTTGGGAACGTGTTCCTACGCGCTACCACCGAGGAGACGACACCGACAAGAGACGCGGGAGGTGCAGGGTTTGGGCACGTCCAATAGCCCATTGGAAGGCGGGAGTGTGGGGGGGGGGGTATTGGGGGGGGGGAGGAGGGGGGGGGGGTGGGGGGGGGTGGAGACCAAAAGGAAAGGTTCGGCAGGGGAGGGAGGGGGGCACCGCGTCCGTTCCCTTTCCTCGAAGCGTTTGTGTGCTGAAATGCCCTCCCTCTGATTCGCAGGCGCGCCCCCGCCCGCGCGCGCGCAGGCACGCTCGGACGATTCCCTTAAGTTAAAGGGCAGGCGCTGAGGGGCATTTGGAAGAGGCTGAGGTGCCCGGCTGCCACACGCAGCTGTAGACCTTGAAAAGGTTCTCTCTCAGCTGTCGGAATCCCTCAAGAAGAAGATCGGTGGCTCCTTCGCGTCCGCGGAATACAGAGAAGCCAAGGACGCGAAAGTGTGAAGCTGCCTGTTGGCTCTGACAAGGCTTTGCCTAGCTTAGCGCTGCCTTCACAGAAGCCGCCGATTGCAACCCGGGGAGGTACGTATTTTGTGATCTGTCAGGGGGTTTGGCGGTCCTTTCCGCCTCCTTTTGTCTTGCTTGGTAAGGGCAGGTAGCCAAAAGTGCAGGTAAATGGAGCTTGGTGTGGGCTTGGTGAGTTTCATCCCAGCTTGTCAGATCACACATTCCTGATTAGCTTTGGTTTGGGCAGTAAGAGCTCTACAATTTATGTCACTGGAGACTTGGAAATATTTAAATTCTATTTTTAGATAAATTAAAGGTTAAAAAATAGTGTACCAAGCTTTCAGTCTTCCAGTCCAGTGAGATAAATGCTGTGAAACTCAAAGGTTTGGACTCATTTTAGGTAAGTAAGTGCTTCCACGATTAAAAATAATGGCAAAGATTGAACCTGAATATTTCTGCAGGAAAACTGTATTAGTATCTTCTGTATGTTTAAGATCCTTGGTTATATGCCACAGAAGACATATGTAACTTGAATCCTACTAAGCCCTGCTCTGTATACCATCTGTGTACTGAGATCTATGACTCAGTCCCCACTTTTCTTTCTTTCTTTTTTTAAACAACTTTACAAAAGTCTGTGATGAGCCAACAAACAAGCTGTGCTGCTGTCCCACATAGAGCAACAAGCCCATCTACAGATTACAGACAATTTACACTGCTCAGAGCTAGTAGAATAAATTTGATACAAGTATTCCTCCTGCATCCCTTGGCAGAAAACATCCAATAATTCAAATAGCTATCTTAGGAAGATATCTGCCTCGTTTTGCCTAATTATAATACTGTGTTGCCATCAAATATTCAGTTGATGTTAAATGATTGGCTCCCAGTTTTCACAAACCTGATCATTTTGTGAGGTTCTGAGGAAACTGCACATGATTTCAACCTTAGCCCTTTTCGCCATACTCCATGACTTAAAAGGCTGTTTCCATTTCCAAAAAGATTATGTCATTAAGGAGCAAACTCATGTTTTCCATGTTAGTTGGATACCATGTATAACTGACACCTGGAATTATTTTTAGCTTTGCATATGTTAACTACATCGTTTGTGATTCAGATATTTTTATTTTTCAGACCACTTGGCTTCTCTATTACTTGATGCTGTTTATTTTTATGTCAATTTTCTCTATTAAAATTCCTATTAAAATAGATTACATTCCCCAGTTTCCTGATGTGCTCTCTCTCTGTCTCTCTGTCTCTCTTTCTCTCTGTATGTACATGTGTTGGTATATACATATGTATAAGAAACCAAGTAGACAAGCAATCAGGACAGAAGTCTGAATCTAACTTGGAGCATTTTAAAAATGGAGAGCTATCGTTATAAATTGTGTCAGATGGAGGATTACTTGACATCAAAACAGTCTCCAACTCAGTATTCAAATTATCAAGGATGAAATGTGAATCTGTAAAAACAGTTTGTGCCAGAAATGGTTTTTTAACATATTGATTGATGTTACGGATTGTAGGTCGAAATATTCTGAAACTACAGGTAGGTCCTTGATAGTCTACTGTATTGTTTAATTGTATATTTAAATCACATTGCATGAATAAAAATACATTTTCAGTAAACCATGTATTTATGTATTTGAAATTAGCACAGTGGAGTGCAGTTTTAAGTAGGAGGTTTGGTAGTAGCCATTCAGTTTAGCCAAAAGAAAGTTCACATGTTGATAGCAATAAGTCTTTATCTGATGCAGCAAAAAAAGTTGATGCAATTAATGAATTGTTCATTGTTAAGATGCTACAAGATTTCTTGTTGTTTTTTAAAGAATGAAACCCATTAATTAAAAAACAATATGGGGTTCTGGGTTATCTTGAAGATTAAGACATTTATTGGGTAAATGCTTTTATGAACTGGAGTCTGCTTGATTAAAAGTGTATTTAATTCTAACAATAATGCCCATCTTTGTCAAATATAAAAGGGTCTTTCGTGAACAAAGGTTATCAGCATGTATTTTCCAGAAAAGTATCTTCCTTTTATAGTTTGCTGCTATGCCTTTACAGACAATCCATCTCCAGCAATAAGACTTTGCAAGTGGATTATTAGTAATGAACCTCATTCTTTATTTATAATGCTACTGCTTATGAATGCAAGTTGACTCACAATTTCTCATGTATTTCCAAAGATCTTTAAAGAGCATTATAAATGTATTCTTGCTTTAGTATTATGTCATTGTTTGACTGATAGCATTACAAATGTCTACACATATAATGAACTCAACAAGAATTAGAAGATAAGCCATGGAAAATAATAAGCTATTTTCAACAAATAAGATTAATTTTTTTAAAAAGTAGATACTAAGAGCAAAGTAATATTAAATAAGAGAAAATTGGAATATGATTAAACATTGAAATGGAAAATTCAGTACATTATACAGCCCTGAATACACACACACACACACACTATATGCTGACAATGTTGACAACAAGAAGGAATGGCAATGAACAAAACATAACTTTTAGAACAAGAAACTCTGTTAAATTTAATCCCTTCAGAATAGTTTTTCAGGAAAGAGCAAATCATGAAAGACAGTTCTTTAGGCATGAGCAAAATTCTGCTAACCTTTATTGTGAATTCCAGTCACACATTCTATGTATCAATCACTATACCTACTATAGTATACTATAGCTATACTATACCACACAGTTTGTGTTATCCATAATTATGTAAATGCTATTCTCCAAAGCACCTGAAGGCAAGACAAGAAACCATGGATAGAAACTAATCAAGGAGAGGACCAACCTAGAAATTTCCTGACAGAACAATTAATCAGGAACAACCTGTCTCCAGAAGTTGTGGGTGCCCCAACACAAGGTTTTGAAGAAGAGACTGGACAATCATTTGTCTAAAAATGATATAGGTTTGCAGTTGGCAGGTTCACTGCCTGAGCAGGGGGTTGAACTAGAAGTCTTCCAAGGACCCTTCGAACTCTGCTATTCTGTTATTTATTGAGCACCCAAAATCAATCTTAGTTTTAATAATTCACTATTAATTGTAAGAATGGTGATTGTACAGCATTATATTTCTTGAATTCTTAATGTTACGGGTAATCCTAAACTTACTGTCACAATTGGGACTGGATATCAGTTAAACAAAGTGGTCATTAAGCAAAATGTTACATGACTGCTTCACTCAATGTCCACAATCCCAGCACTCCCAGTTACTCCCCATAAAACTGTAGTTGTTAGTTTTATGTTTACTGATATTTTAAAAATAATAGCTTTGTCCTAAAATAACAAAGAGAAGCAAATTTTCCTTTACCATGGTAAGGGAATTATTACCATGGTGGTAATAATGTTATAAATACAATTTAATATCATAAGCTGCCCAGAGTCACCCTGTGGTAAGATTGCAGGTCAATAGAGTTTATAAGTAAGTAAGTAAGTAAGTAAGTAAGTAAGTAAGTAAGTAAGTAAGTAACTAAGTAACTAAGTAACTAACTAAGTAAGTAAGTATCCAAAGGCCACTTGGAAATAACATTGATATCTTTTAGCTTGGAAACATTTACCCAGACATCTACTGAGATAGATAGATAGATAGATAGATAGATAGATAGATAGATAGATAGATAGATGTGTGTGTGTGCATGTGGTGTGTGTGCGCATGCGCACACCAGTGATGGGTTCCTCCCGGTTCCTCCCGGTTCCGTCGAGCCGGTAGCGGTGACAATATGATGTCACCGAACCGGTTCTGCCCCCTCCGACCCCTGAACCCCCCCTGCCCTCCCCCGCCCACCCCCAGCGTTATTCTTATCTTTTATTTGGCCCCACCCCCAATCTATTGCTGCCTCCTGAGTCCCAGCTGATGGGTAGAGGGGAAAAAACTGTTTAAACTGTTTAAACTGTTTAAACCACGGGGCTTCAAAGGGCCGCCCTACAGATGATCAGTGTTAATAGAAAACAAATGAGTATACCGGTGCCTGCAAAAATACATGAGTAGATCAGTGCCTGCAAAAATACATGAGTAGACCAGTGCCTGCAAAACTACATGAGTAGATCAGTGCCTGCAAAATACATGAGTAGATCAGTGCCTGCAAAAATAAATGGGTAGACCAGTGCCTGCAAAAATTAATGGGTAGATTGGTACAGCCTGGTAGACCAGTACCTCTGCTAAATCTGAAATAATTATCACATGACAATCAAGCCACGCCCATAAAATAAGCCACGCCCACAGAACCGGTAGTAAAAAAATTTAGAACTCACCCCAGGCGCACACGCATGTGCATATATTACAATATTCTTCCAAAAAAAACCCCCAAAACTGGACATAACCAAACCATATTTGTTAATATACTCATTTTTCTTATCACACCATTACAGAAAATCTATCATCCATCCGTTCTGATTATTCTTTAAAGAGTCCAATAAGTATAAAATTCTTTGATAGATTAACTTCAGTTTCAACTCCAAAGAAACAAAGAACATTGTTTTGAAAAACTTGAGATTCTTTTGTAGTCATTATTGGATGTAGTAACTCTTTATTCCATAAATTATATTCATAATTTCAACTTTTACAATATTTTTCAATTTTGGATATAGTTTCAAAATTAATTTATTTTAGAAACAAACTCAGTCTAAAATAAGTCTGGCTTCTTTCAGATAGTTAAAATGCCTAACCCATATTTAAATCATTCTTAAATTAATTATCTTGCCATTTATATGTATTGGGCAGAGAGAATTATGTCTCTAGTTATTGAAAATCCTCAAACATCAGTACAAACTGATTGACATAAAGTAGCTATTCAGACTTCTGATGAGCAACATGGAAAGCCAGAAGTCCTGCTGAAACAGGACAGTATTTTAGCAGAAATCAGTGGCTGGATACTGGATCCTAGACAGCAAAATCTCTCTGCAGAAAGGAGAGATTGAAATAGCCCATGCACCCTCCAGATGGCCATTTCTTGTGAAACCTCAAGACAATGAGGTTTTGCAGTTATAAGCCAACTGCAAAACCTCAATTTCTCACAAGGAATGGACATCTGGAGTATGCATAAGTCAGGTGGCTGGGAGTTGAGCGATACTATCTAAGCTCACAATCATAACTCGGCCTTTTATAAACAAAAAGTTTGACCACAGACATTTCTTAATCATTTTTGAATTATTATTATTGCTTTGGAAATATTAAGAACCTTCAGAATTGCAAGTTTGTATTGCATTCATTGGGTTAGTCTCCTCCTTAGAGAAGTTTTAAACATGATATTAAGGCTCTGGAAATATTTCTTTTTTAATAAATAGCAAAAGGCTGTTTAGAATGTTGATTTTAGAAAGTTAAAAACAGACTAAGGGTTCAGATGGATTTGGAATTTAGATATAAAATTAATTATACAAATCCTTCCTTTAGGAAAGTGTGGTTGTTTGGGTTCTTTAGAAAGAACTAGAAGAAAATACAATTAAAGGAGAATACTTAAATTTGACTTGTTAACTAATAATGGAGCAAAATATTTTAACAATGGATGTTTCGAAGGCTATTGTAATAGAATGTGTGAATGAGCTGGTGAATGCCTAGGAAAAGAAATGCTGCCTAGGAAGAAATCAGACAGGAAATGCAAAAATCTCCAGTGATTTAAAAGCCAGAGAAAGAAACTTAGGAAGGACCTGCCATAATGGATGAAGCAGTTAAAAGTGGCAATGGGAAGTTCATACTTTCATAGTTGCAGATTCTGTTAATGTAGCCTTAAAGTAGACTTAGTTCATTTAGTATGTTTCCTGATTGGTTTATTTGGGAGGACTAACAGATATTTTTGACCAATGGACTCAGAAATTAATTTTAAGAATATGTGATACAAGACATGATGGTATCCATCCACATCAGATAGATGGTGTGTTAATGAAGTTACAGAAAAAGAACAAGCTGAGCTGGGTAAGATTGAAATTGATTGGAATGTGGATTTAAATATAAGAATTTTTAAGAATGAGGTGAAAAAGTGATATACTGAAATGAAATCAATTGATATTTTAACATTTAAAGAGGACATACAAATATCAAACCAGCAATTTATTTGGATAATATTTTCTTACCAGACCTTCAGAAGAAATCTTTTAAAGTCTTGAAATATTTTCTGAAAAAGGACAAAAAAATGAGAATAAAGCAAGTTCTAAGATGGTATTTGAAGGGAATAAAAGTTATGATTGTTAAAAGTGCAGGGAAAGAATTTAGAGTTATCTTATTTGATCAAGATTAAAATACATATTTACTTATTTCTGGTAATCCTTAAGGAACTAACTTTAGGGCCTGGCCTAACTTTCTCCCTCTTTTTAAACATTTTTAATATTTTTTTTTAAAAAATAGTATTTTTAATAGTCAAAAGTTTAAATTTGTTTTAAATTGATTGGGTTTTAAATTTGTCTGGGCCAAATTATTTAATTTGATTTTATCTCTGCTTTTTAAATTTTGTATGTATGTATTTTATTGTTGGCTGTTCACCACCCTGAGTCCTTTGGGAGTAGGGCGGTATATAAATCAAATAAAAAGAAAAAAAAGAAAAGAAACTAGTGCTGGTAAAGAATGAAGAGTGTTTGGGATTTTGTTTATAGTTAAGAAATGAGACATGGGATAAAGAGAGTATTTGCTGTATTTTAAGAAATGGGGATAAATTACTAAAATTGTTTATACTTGTGATGAACATGCTTTTTTCCTTTCTACACTTTTTATTTTTTCTTATTATTCTTATATTTATTTTTTCTCATTGTAATTTTTTTCTAAAAAATATTACAAGAAAAGGTTTAAGGTAACTTATTCTATACTCTGCCCATACTTTTTCATAGAACATTTTCCCTGTTTTAAAAGGAGAGGTTTTCGATAAAGTTAAATGTTCAAGAGATTCAGCATTAAGATCGACTCTACATTACAGTAAAGCCCAAGATGTCTAGCTTCATTAAATCAATAAATTAAAGAACTCTGGTCACATCCATGAAATGTCAAGTATACTACCAAGCTGTACTCAAGCTACAACCGGTCGCTTAATAACTCCCCAAAGCTACTTATGACCCATTTTCAAAGTTACAAAACACACACACCTTGCACTTACATGATCACATTTTGGGTTCTTGCAATTGGCCTACCTTTATGGCTATTTGCTGCATTCTATGGTCATGTGACTGAAAATTATAGCCTTTTTTGCGGATTTCTGGCATTTACATCTGGTTTCTGGCAACAAATGTACATTGGGGAAAAATGATTCATTTAACAATTGCAACATTTGCTTCATGACCATGTCTTCTCCTCTCCGCTTCCCATTTCATCCTAATTTATTCTAGCCACTCTATGCTCCTGAAAGCTTAGGCTCTTTAATAAAATTTGATAATTGGAAAAGGTGCTACCAGACTCGTGGGATATGTGTGTATGATTATTTTTTTATGAAGGACAAAGATATATTATTCTCAAATCTGGAAATTTTTTGCGTATCTGCTTCCAAAATAATATTTCCACCAAGTCATTCTGTCTTTCTTTTTCTTTCTAACATTCTAAGATTTCCTTGTTGTCTTTGACTATATTCTTTGCAATTAACTTTTTTCTTATACATTTTATGCAGTATTTTTCTCTCATCCTCATATTTTTCAGCAATCAAATTTATATGCATGCTTTTTCATAATTCCCAGTAGGGTAACTACATTTTTTTTTTACCAACAATCAGAATAGGCCTGGTATTTTATTTCATTATAAAAGCATACACTTCTGTGAACCGCAACTAATCAGATGCATATAAAATTGCTTATGCTTTACTGCAATGGCTTATGCTTGGTTTACAGTACGGTACCGTAGGCTACCATTGCAATCCTCCTACAATGATCACTCTGTAACATAATTCTCCCTGTTCCAACATCCTTTTTCTATATACCCACTTTCTATTCTCATTCTCATTTCTATATACCCACTTTCTATTCTCATTCTCAGTTCCCACATCCTTTTTCTATATACCCACTTTCTATTCTCATTGTGTTGGGAAATTAAATACAGTATATTTTAACATTTTCTCATATAGGACCCATGCATTTTCATACTTTTTTCCTGCAGTTATTCTACTGTGACTTCATGTGCTTCATACTCTCTGTTTCCTTTTCTTCTTACCTCTCATCACTTTTGTATCCATCTCTAAGTCTTACAGCTTTTGCTATATACAAGGGAATAATCCTTTCAGATCTATATTCATTCCTTTCCCATGTGTAGGTAATGGGAACACCATTCTTGTTCAGTCTTGGATCTTCAAATGGCTCAGTCACTTTTTCCATATTCTCGTGTCTCATCTTTTCATGAGTTACAAACTACAGAATTCTTTTTTCCATGGATCTCATGCTTTTGAGAATGTTGCAGTTTTCCCCAAAATCTCATGTATGGTTTCTTCTATAACTGCCATTCACTGGAGCATAACACCAACTCATAAATTCCAATTTTTATATTTACCTATTTTCCCTCAGGGACGCGGTGGTTCAGTGGTTAAGTCACTGAGCTTGTCGATTGAAAGTTTGGCAGTTCTGCAGTTCGAATCCCTAATGCCATGTAACGGGGTGAGCTCCCGTTCCTTGTCCCAGCTTACTATCTCACCAGCACTGGCAGAAGAGTTGCAGGCCCTTCAGCCAAGGAATTTAAAATGGCAGGGTCCAGGCTGGCTCCTGCCATTTGGAAGATTTTACCCCCTGAGGTGAGATTGGTTTCCATCCTCCTGACCTTCTGTAGAGCTTGAAAACCTGGCTCTGCCAGATGGCCTGAGGCCCTAATGGGAGAGCATCACATTTGAGGTGGTTGATGAATTAAGAGGCAAACCCACCTCCCCCCTGCACATCCAGTTCCCTCCCTCCTCATTTTTTAATTATGATTTTATCTGCATTGGGGCATCTATTTTTATTGTTTCAGAGACATTTATATGTTATGACTTTAATTTTTTAGGCCGGGTGCCGGCAACCCTCAGCTCCGGAGCGGCATGCAGCTCTTTTGTCCCCCTGCTGTGGCTCCTTGTCAGCTGAACCCACCACTGGCTGGCCCTGCCCTTTGCCTTCCCCTCCCAGTCACTCCTCGCCTGATCTGAGAAGGTAAGGGTGATGGCAGGGAATAGAGACTCACTCCATATTTCAGAGCGGGAGTGAATTGCTCCTGTAAATGCCTTATCTCGCAGGTGCTTCTTCTGGCCCTTATTGGTGTTGCGCGCACCTTGGTCGCTTGGAGAGACACGCAACTTGCTCTCAGCCCCAAGACACTGGCCCAGCCTGGCTGCAGCCGATGTTCCACATCAGACACACACACAGAGAGATACCTGTTTCCCACAGAAAAGAAAATACCAGGAGCCACAAAACCTGGGTAGGCGTGGCTAGGGGGGTGTCATGTAACTGGGTGGGAGTGAGTAACATCGAGTTGGCCATGTCCATCAAGGTTTTGTGGGTCCTGATGTTTTCTTTTCTGTGGGAAACGGGTCCAAATGGCTCTTTGAGTGTTTAAGATTTCAGACCCCTGTTTTAATCTGAAAGTCACTGTTTGTTAAGAGAGGGATGGCAAATAAATTTAACAAATAATAAATTTAATAAATAAATAACATACCAGTTCATTAAGTGACTGTTTGAAGTTACAATAGTACTCAAAAGAGTTATTTATGACCGTTTTTCACATTTATGACCGTTGCAGCATCCTTGGCAGCTTGATTCATATTTATGACAATTACAATGCCCCAGGAATATGTGATCACTTTTTGTGACCTTCTGACAAGCAAAGTCAATGGGGAAGCCAGTTTCACTTAACAATTGCACTGATTCATTTAACAACTGCAACAAGAAAGATTGTAAAAGGAGGCAAAACTCACTTAACAAATATCTCATTAGCAACAGAAATGTTGAGCTCAATTGTGGTCAGAAGTTGAGGACTAGCTGTAAGTAAATTCATCCACAATTTCTTGCTCTGTCCATATACAATTATGCAATTTATTATTAATTGTGTCCTTTTCATGATCTCTTTCATGTTATCCCCTAGTTTCTATGTTATACTAAGTGAGTAACTAAACATAAGCACAAGTAATTGAAAGAATCACACATTCTTTTCTTGTTAACCTCATTATTTCACTTTTCTTGCTCTGTAGTTTGTGTTGTCAGCCAAGAATCCTGTCCTCTCTACGTGTAAAATGCAATGCTATTAATTCTGCTATCACATTAGTGAATAATCACAAAATCAAATTACTAAATTAATTGTCAGGTGCAATGTATCATTTTTTTCATTACTAGTTAGTCTAAGATTCTTTGCAGAACTGAGCTTAGTGTATTCTGTATTTGTGACAGTAGGAAAACAATTGTTTGAAAATGATTGTACTTTTAAAACTTACTGTTGATAAAATTGTTACTGATAATTTTCTAGTATCTTAGATTTCACAAGGTTGAAGTACAGGGAGTGTACAGTTTTATTGTTGAATCAGGTGATGAATATCCTCAAATATTCCCTGTTGGTCAAGGAACTTCAGAGCCTTCTCTGTCACAGCATCTGCCATCTGGAACATCATAACCCCAGAGGTAAGATCTGCCTCATTCTTTTGGTCTTCCTTAAAGGCCTTAAAACGTGGCTCTGGGGCCCAGATGGGGCTTGTCATCCTGGAGGTATTCTGGATTAAAAGATCCCATCTCTCCTCTGTTGTATGCCCCTGCCATCTAAGCTATTTTTTGTTAATTATAATTAATTTACTATTTTAGTGTTTTATTCTTTTATAATATAATTTTATTGTACACTGCCCATGCAGTAATCGCAAGAACAAGATGAATGGTGAATAAATTTAATAAATAAAATTAAAAAAGAAATAAGTATATTTTAATTATGTGACTCCCAGAGAGATTAAATTGAGATTGTTTTTTTGTCCATCTCCACTGTCTAATGTGTGCTAAACGCCTAAATTCTCTTCAGAAATAAGAGGCTTTTTTAGGAAGACATAAAGGAGAATTGGAGGACATAGAAATGGAGTTTTCTGAGGGAACTATTCAACAGTCACAACAAATGCAATAAAACAGAGTTCCCCAACCTTTCCAGTTTTGCAGACCAGCAGGGGGGAGAGGGGATTGTTCCATGTGAGTTGAGGGCAAGCACAGGCACACACAGCTCCATTTGCATGAGTGGCATGCATACATGCCCACCACTCACACAAATGGAGCGCATGTGCATGTGCTCGCCCACTGCTCGTGCCATTTCTGTGGCCCGATTGCAAACACCTCACAGCCCACTTGTGTGCCGTGGAATTGCCTATTCCAATTGCAACAGAAATTGGAAAAAGATGGTATTGAATATTTAGGCACCACAGATAAGGACTTTTCTAAACTTTTGGTCTCAGTATGGATTACAGATATTTAACATGAAATATACTGAAAGTGGAGCAAATGTTCCTGGAAAAAAAGAAAAAAATAATTACTTGAAAAAATTAAAGCATTATTTGCCTACAAAAGACTCATATCAGGAAAAAAAATGATATTAAAATTATTTAATTTATAAGTCCTTGGGTAAAGACTTAATTTTAAATGACATTTAAAAAGAGGAAAAATGTTGTTTTTGCATATTAATATATATGGGGTTAAAAATATGATCCTGCATGTTTATGCCCCAAATGAAAATAAAGTGGCTTTTTATAAACAACACATGAAAAGAGTAATGGACTTTTCTTAAGAAAGTTGGTGCTTGATGGGGGATTGGATTGGAGTGGTCTTCTACAACTGGATCAAATTTTATTCAGGGTAAATTATTGAAAGTTTTATTTGATTTGATGGACAATTTAGGATTGATTGATTTAGATACTATGGTTGGTTTATAAATACTGAAGAAAAAAGAAAATGATATTGAAATTACAAGAAATACTGTATTGACAAATAATGTAGACATACAAAAACATTTTATCAATGTTATTCTAATTAGTATAAAGGACATGATATTACTTCAGAGAAAATAATAAATATCTTAGAATACAAAATTGATCAAGAATCATAAAAGAACAAAGACAAATTATGAATGAACCAATAACAATAAGGGAAGTTTTAGAAACAATTACAAAAAATAAATAATAGATGGACTATAAAGGATTTGAGGATAAACTCTTACAACCTTTACAATAAAAATTAAGTCTATTCTACAGGGAGGAAAAATGCCAAAGAAAAGGCTAATATGATGTTATAAACATATAAAGAGGGACAAGATTTCACTTCAGCAAGAAATTATAGAACAATGGAATAATGACTACAATTTTAGCTGAAAGGCTGAAAATAACTTGCAAGAATTCATTCATGAGGATCAATGTGAATTTTTACCTAAAAGACAATTGAAGAATAATATTAGAACTGTCTTGGCTTTCAGAAATAATAGGTGAAACTTTTGAATTAGATCCTAAAATATTCCTCCTGGGAATTCTGAAGACGGAAATGGGAAAAAAGAAGAAATACCTAGCAGTGCATATAACAACAGCAGCAAGAATCTCTTTTGCTCAACAATGGAAAGAGAAAAAAATACCAACTAAGGAACAAGTAATCGGTAAAATAATGGAATGTGCCGAGATGAATAAGTTAACGTTGGAAATCAATGACAGAGAAGATACTGATTATTATAGCGTGTGGGACAAGTGGTACGGGTGGTTAGAGAAGAGGAAAATGAAATAAAAAAAAATGAAAGAGACCAGATTGAGTACAAGAAATAGTTAAATGATATAGTAAGAGAAGATGTACCGCAGATTGTAGAAAGTAAAATGAAGTAAGGAAAAGTTACATGGGTAAGCAAAAGATATGACTTATGTATTTATTAATTTACCTTTAAAGACCCATTATATATATATACATTAAGAATGATATAAGTACATACTTATATACCATGTAATTGAGTAGCAAAGATTATCTATATGTACATACATCTGTATTCTTATTTATTTCCTTTTCCTATACTATGTAACCGGATGGACAAAAACTGTATTATTATAATTTCTTAACAATAAAATATATTAAAAAAAAAAAAAAAGAACTGTCTTGGATATTTTGAAATATTTGGAATAACATAATAAAAAATAAGCCATATTGATCTTTTTAGATGCCTTTGACAATTTGAGCCAGTCTTTACTGTTTTTTGAAGCATGGAGTAAATAAAAATACTGTGCAGTATTAGAATTTTCTCAACGGGAATGTAAAATAAAATCAGGAGATTTCACAATAGAAGAATATATTTGTCAATGGTTTTCTTATATACCAATTATCAGGTTTAAAGAAGATAAAATATTTTATGGTTTTGAACAATGTAAGACTGAGTTTATAATACAATTACAACAGGCACTATAAATACCACACAAAGAACAGCACACACTCTGCTAGAGAGAAGTTCCCTGAAGGTGGGCTCCAGGCCTCCAGCACGAGTCTGAAAGCTTGGAAGACAAAACCTCTGGTCCTGGTGACTGACTCAGATTGGACCCTGCAACATTATCCTGGGATATGTATATTCACCTTCATTCGTATAACAGAATTGTGTACTAATGATGAACATGTAACTCCTAGCAGGTATAAACTTTTGCTGAAATATGAGACAGAAGAAGAAGTTAGTGAGAGAATGTATGATCAAATGGATCAAAAAAATTGGTTAAATATACTTATGAGAAATATCTGGTTGAAAGGATTGAAATTTACATTATGTTCTAAATGTAAAGAGAATGTTTATAAAATGTATACAATAAAATGGTTTTTTTTGTAAAAGGTTATATTTTTTTAAATGAAACATATTTTATAAAATGAAACCTTAGCACAGTCATTCCAACATTATAAAATGTTATGTTTAATGAACATGCTAAAGAAGTGCAAGAAATTTAAGTACAAATATATGTATTAATTCAGAAGCTTTTAAAAGACTAAAGTACAATTGAAAACAAAGGCTTTCCTTTTGGACAGGTAATTATAAAAATATGATGGAACTTTGTTTTTATACATGGCAATTGAAATAAAATTATTATTATATAAAGTGGAAATGCTGAACATTACCCAAAATGGAAGAATGATTGGTGAAGATGAAAGAACTTGCAGAGATGTCTAAATTAACTTTTTTAATTAGAGAAAAAGCAGCATGTTTATGACTAGAAACAGCTTGTAGAAGTTTTGTATGAATCAGAAAATAATGGATGCATGACTTGTGGTTTCAATGATTACAAAAAAAAATTGGATAACAATTTTTGGATAAAATTGGATAATAAGAAAAAGTGAGTTTTATTTGTCAAGATAGAGTAAGAGACAATTTTGTAATCATATTTGTATTTGCTGCAAAGGAAATTGGAAGCTTCTATTTCTTTTTTATTCTTTTTGCACTTTTATTTTTTTCTTTTTCTTTCTTTGCTCTCTTTATTTTGTATTAGTTTGTATTAGCTATTATGTTCTCTTTAAAACTTTTAAAAGGTTTTTATAATAATTCATGCTAAATTACTTATTACTTATAAGTTATTACTTATTATATACTGTATATTAGTGGTGAAATTCAAACTTTTTTACTACTAGTTCTGTGGGCGTGGCTTGGTGGGTGTGGCAGGAAAGGATACTGCAAAATCTCCATTTCCACCCCACTCCAGGGGAAGGATATTGCAAAATCCCCATTTCCACCCCACTCTGGGACCAGCCAAAGGTGGCATTTGCTGATTCTCCGAACTATTCAAAATTGCCGCTATCAGTTCTCCAAACTACTCAAAATTGCCGCTACTGGTTCTCCAGAATCTGTCAGAATCTGATGGATTTCATGCCTGCTGTATATGTTTTGTATATCTCATAATCTTCCTCCTATTTGAGTAGTATGATCAAATCAATGTAATGTAGTAAGTAGAAAATACTTTAAAAGATGGGCCTTTATTCGCCTGTAATCCTAGATATATTTTATCTTTTAGCCACCAAACTGAACAAGGCTTTTTTCTGAAAACACATCAGCAGCTATAATTAATAATTACAGTACTATTTACTGAATTACAGTAAATAGTGTATTCCTGCAAATTAGATCTATGATGAGTCAAGAAAGGAATTAGCAATTATTAATGGTCACTTTTGTTTCATTGTTTTGTTGCTTAATTGAATATAAGTCTAGAGAAATAATTTCAAAATTGATTGGGAAGGACATTTCTCTATCTGATGGAATCCAAAATCTGTTTGCTTACCTATGCAGGATATAAATAAAGTTCATTTATACTATGCATGCCATTCTGAAATAAGAAAATTACACAGAGAGAGAGAGAGTGTGTGAGAGAGAGAGAGAGACAGACAAACAGACAGATTTGCATCTCTCTTATGTATAATATTTCATCTCAGTTTCTCTACAGTACTAAAAAAAATCACCTATTAACCCTTGTTCTAATACAGTATACTATAAATTATCCATTACTCACTCTATGGAAACAGTAGCTGTATCTACATATATCATCACTAAGTTAAGATTTCTTTCTGCCAGAGTTTGTTGAACCAATCAGGCTCAGTAATGCAGTTGTAGAAAATCAAAACAGCTTTTGGCTAATATGTGCTTTCTTTTCTTCTCTGTCACCAAATATTGTGTACCTAATAGCAGTAAATAACTATTTTTCAATGTATTTGTTGGAACTTTATGGTTTTTAACATAGTTACATTTTTTTTTGTCTCTGTGCTTATGAGGTTGATCTTTTTGCATGATTGTCTTTACAGTATGTACAAAAATATTGCTGGCAGGGAAAACATGGAGTCTGAAGGGGGAAAAAAGCAAGATTTGAATTTGAAGAGCAATGTAGTAGGGGCTACCTGTGGCATCTCAATGGCTAGGAAGACGAACTTAGGTAGGACACAAAACCACTGAGCATAAACCAAACCATAAACCATTACAAACTGGTTAAAGCAAATTTATAAGTCATCTTCTTTTAATGATTTCAAACTGCGATTTGTGTCCTAGGATGAATTTAGGTACCCCAAAACTCCATATCTAATATTAAATGCAACTTTTATTTTTTGTAAATGTAGTATTTACATAAAATCCTCTATTAAAATATGAATCATTTTATGAGACTATAGCTTCATTATTAAAAACTAGATTTGTTTTTATAGCTGCATTTGGGCCACAGATGTAATTATTTAGTACAAGCTGCTATTCTCTGGCTAATTATCTTCTCCAGTTTCCATAGCCTGTTGTACTCCGTCAAAAGCACTGCTCTGAGACACTCTGCCAAAGTGTACACCTAGGGAGCAGGTGTCTTGATAAATGCCAACTTCCTTATGTTCCCAGCGGATGCATAGATGCACCTGCTGATTACAATTTCACCTATTGCACCAAGTAAGCACTTGTGACGGTATAAGAAAACCTTTTTAAAAAGTTAGTTACAGTTCCCTGTTCACTTCTGCACGCCTTTGGTTTCTATCTTAGATCTATCTGTATACCCCAATGGCTTGGGTTCAGAATACCTTTAAAACCTGGAATTTTTCACCTGAATCTTTCCAGAGAATTTACTGGCAAGGTCTTATATAGCTGAGCAGCATCAATCATTTATGAATTTTAATTTGTAGCAATATTATACACTGCTTCCTATGTACTATAGCAGGGGTGTCAAACTCACGGCCCATGGGCCAGATGCTTGCTGGCCACGCCCACCCCTATTTTAGCGAAGGAGAAAAAAGTCGTGATATATCACATGACGAAAACATGACAATGAGTGTTTGACTCCCCTGTACTATTGTATTATAGTACTAAATTTACTATGTCTATATAATATACACATTTAGAGTAAGGATTAAGACACCAGACTAGACACCAGGTGACTGAGAGTTCAAGTCTCACCTTAGCCAGGAAAGCTAACTGAGTGACTTTGGGTCAGTCACTCTCTCTCAGTCCAACTCAATTCAAAGGATTGTTGTTGGGGGAAAATAGGAGGAGGAAGGTGTGTTGGATATGTACATTATCTTGAGTTATTTGTAAAATATATATATAGGTGAAATATAAATGAATAAATTAAAAGCTTCAATAAAATTGTTTTTTTTTTAAAAAGAGAAAAGTGACCTTTATACTGTAAAGATAAATAAATGGGACTGTGACAGTGTGTAGAATATGGAAGTATTCTGGAGTTGGAAAGGGGAAAGCCCCTTCAAAATCTTCCAAATAGCATGTGCTATTAGATTTTAATCTTGTGGCATAGAGCTCCCTACTTCAGTCTTCATCCAGAATTACTACAGTATATATATATATATATTGACGAGAAGGAAAGGGCCTGGTGGGTGAGACGATTGTAAGCATCTTTTCTCTGTCTTTCTCTTCAAATTTCTAAAAGGTGCAAGTAATATATATTTTTTTACTTTACTTTTCATTCTTCACTATGGAAAAGTTCAACTTCTACCATAACCTTACCAACCATTGAGTGCTCTCATGCAATGTTTCAGATGGAAGTTATTTTTTTAAAAAAATAAAAAAAATAAAAGTGGCAAGATTTCATGACAGAGTACAGATATTTTATAAGATTTCTGTTATTTAAATAAAATAAATACATAAATAAATTTAAAATGCTATTATTATTCTGAAGGTCAGTGGATGCCATCTAGTGGTGGTGCTGAGCTCCATAATGCCACCCCCCCCGAGCGTTAAGATTTGCTTTCTTTCCCCCGCCCCATAATTTTATATGCTGTGTATTTTGAGTAGCCTACTCCACTTGTGGAAAACAAAGTACGTTTGCCATAAACAACATAGGAAACTATTCTATTTACTAGTAATTTCTCTCTGCGGATTTACAAATGCTGTTACATTCACTGAAAATTGCCTTGGTGTGATTAAGGCTGTTGATTTTTTTTTTTTTTTACTTCTACTTCTTTGTAGCTCTGGATGAATGAAAGAAAGAAAAATATTCTTCCTGCCCAGCCTAAAAGTTTATCTGTTATTGCTATTTAAGCAATAATAGTCCATTTATTTTGATGGTACTTTTCTAATCTTGTTTGTGATATCAGAACTTTGAGAGGGTACTCTATTTATTTATTTATTAAATTTCTATAGCCACCCAACTCAACCAATTGACACTGGTGGGTTACAATCCTAAAATTATAAAACAATTACAAAACATTAAAACAGTAAAAGCATACACACACAAATACAAACAGCACCTGGGTTGATTAGACAACTGACAGTAAAGTTAAGGGACTCTTAACACTTTCCAGGCCCAAGTACATCTTCCAAGTTTTTAACGCCTTGAGAAAGGCAATCAGGGTTCGGGCTATTCTAATCTTGGTGGGGTGAATATATCATAAGGCAGGGGCTACAGCAATGGAGGCCCATCTTCTACTTCCTGCCAGCCAACACTTTTTGCCGGAGGGAATCTGTGGCATGCCTAATATGTTGGATTGAATTGGATGGGTAGAAACTCTTGGGGGAAAAAAATCATCCAAGTAACCCAGTCCCAAACCATGTAGGGCTTTAAAGCTAGCAACCAGCATGTTGCATTGCACCTGGAAACACACAGGCAACCAGTGCTGCTCACGCAGTATTGATGTTACATGTGCCATGTAACTGCCACCATTTATTACCCTTGCAACTGCATATAACTCACTGCTCTTTTATACCCCTGCTAACAACCTCAAGCTCCAGTATTACAATGCTCTAAATTATTAGGAGCGTCTGCAGAAGAATTTCCAGTACTGTGCTGCATTTACTTATTTTCTTTCACCCTTTAGTGTCCTTATGAGTCCTATAAACTCAGCAGATTTTCTCATGGGCAATAAGAGAGAAAATATATTGACAGTCCTTGCCCTACTTTACTAGTGGATATAATTATCAGGAGAGATGACTTAATAAATACATAAGAAATCGAACATATTTCCATATTAGTACATTTGATGTTAGAAGGAAGTATATCTTACTGGGTGTATTTTGTTTCTAGCTTTCAGGACCCTCCTTTTTATTTTCACTCCTTCCTTTCCTCTGTTTTTCTCCAGAACAATGAGTGAATATTCTGAGGACAGTCTAGCTGCTTTAAAAAAAACAACTGCAAATTTTGGTATTTCATCAGGCTTGCTGATTTTTTCCCCTTGTACTGTATGTCTTTTTGAATATTGAAATGTCCACAAATACAAAATGAGTTCACAATCTGTACAAGAGACAATAATTTTTTTTAAAAAGCTAAATAGTTTCTACATTTTCAGGACTTTTATACTTGGTTTTAGTGTAACTGTAGTTTGCTAATATAACTCAGCATCTTCTATGTTGACAAGAAATGGATTTTGAGAGTTTCAGAAAAAGGTCTTTCCCAATTAGTGTGGAAATTCCTGCATGCAAAGCATTTCTTTGAACTGGACAGTGGCTCTTTCTTATACACCTGGGCAGTTTTAATATTTTCAGATAGGGGTCTGATATTGTTGAGACAGCTACAGAAAGCAAAAATAGCAGCAGTGTTCTAGTAAAGACAAATTAAATATATTGATTTAGCTCTTGAAAATGGAAGGGACCATTTTTTGTGGTCCCTGATTTTTGTGAAATAGCCTACAGCCTGTGGAAGAATGGTAGATGTGACTTTCACCAATTCCTACTTCCCATGCTCTCAATAATTCCTCTGGAGTGTATTTTGTGGAATACAATGGGCTGCATGGTAAAGAGGACAAAGCTGCTGATAGAATTGTAGTGGAGCATAACTCTGCTCAAGCAATCTTCCCCCTGGTGGGGAAAAAATCTCAAGTCCAAAGCACTTATAAATAATCAAGTAGGAGAACTGTATCGTCAACTATAGAACTAACAACCTAGGACTAAGAAGAAATTTCCTGACAGTTAGAACAATTAATCAGTGGAACAACTTGCCTCCAGAAGTTGTGAATGCTCCAACACTGGAAGTTTTAAAGAAGAGATTGGACAACCATTTTTCTGAAATGGTATAGGGTTTCCTGCCTAAGCAGGGGGTTGGACTGGAAGACCTCCAGGGTCCCTTCCAACTCTTGTTATTCTATTCTAATTATAGTCCTTTTCTGAAGAAATCTGAAGAAATGACTGGGAGTAATCACCACAGAATATAATATTATAATATAATATAATTAATATTACAGGAATCCTTTAATATTTAATATTAATATTTAATATTAATTAATATTAAAGGAATCCTTAAAGTAAAATCAAATGTATTATTACAATCAAAGATCAATAATAAAAAAATCTTCAAAACTCTAACAGTATTTAAGTCCATTCCATACATAAAAATTAATCTATTGATCAATCCATTAAAACAGCACCATTGTAGAATGCATGTTACTTACGTATTTTCTGGAAATGGAGTAAAATGGGGGGGGGGAAGCTTAATATTATGTTCCGTTTTACATTAACCAATTAAGAGGATTAACATTCTACAAGTCTCTCTTGACATGCTTTAAAATATTTAAAGAGAGATATGGATTAAATAAATATGAAATGGTAATTAAAATGATTAAAACTGTTTTATTTTAAATGGAAAAGAATAATTGTTCCTGTTATCTTACTAGTTCTTTAGGAATGTGGCAGTGATGTCAACATCCACACTTTTTATAAGAATACCTGATACACTTTTACACTATGCAATCTGTAATAAAAAGGTCAAATTTTGTAAATTTTTGGAAGAAATTTCAAGGTTATCGTTTGCAAATATTTAGTTAAAATAGATTTATCTGAAGTATTTATACTTTCTTGTTTTAAACTTCTCAAAGCAATTCACAATAACAGAGACCCGTGCAATAAAAACAGAATAAAAATGTTCTATTTGAGGACAGTAGGGCAGTATGTGTTAATCTTCAGGGAGAGTCAATATAAAAAGCTTTAAATACCTTTTCTGATGCTATTCCACCAGGCAGAGTCCCCACAGAGAAGGCCTTTCTCTGCATCACCTCTAGCTGACAAACAGCAAGCTGTGGCATAGAGATCAGCAGTATCCTGGAATTGCAGCTGTCTAGGCATATTTTATCGATGTATTGCAGTCATTGTTAAGTAAACAGGTTTTGAGTTTGTCATAGCTTTATACAGTAATTGCAGAACATTAAATATGGTTGAGAGGACTTTTTCTCCTTTCAAGTTCAGTTCACCTCCCAGTGATTACATGGATGTATCCATGTAATCGTATTGGCAACAGTGTGGAAGAGTTCTGCCATTGCCTTCTTTCTGAATGTTTTCTTCCCCAGTCTTGTCTACACTGCTGGAATTTCCTAATGATCTCCTATTCAAGATGGCCAGGGGAAATTATTGTTGTGACAGCAACCTAGCAACTAAATATTATACATGCACATTATGACATCACAGGCAGTATCTTAGGCCCAAACCAGACCCAAGGACAGCCATATACAGAACACATTGTAGGAGTCCACCCTGAGGTTAACAATGTATGATTCATTGTGGCCAACTTTCCTTTTCTAGAATGGACACAATTGAAAAATTAGCCCCAAATGCTGCAGTATGTTTCTAAACTACAGATGTCATCTGTACTGACTTTGCAAAAAAACTCCTTTGGCTTCATGTGCTTGGACAAGAGCTTGGAGGGAATTCCATTATCTTCCCCATTCCCATGGTGAGGATTACATTTTAGTTCACATGTGTGGTTGGTTTTATATATATATATATATATATATATATATATATATGTTTTTCCTCTAGCCAGAAAAAAAGGCTGCAGAAAAACCTTGGTTACGTAGGAAAAACCTGGCTAGAGGAAAAACACACATAAATCCTACGAAGTAGTAAGAAAATAGATATTGTACCTTTACAGGGAGGATACATGAGATGTGGGTGTGGCTTACGGATGATGGCTAACGAGCCAGAAATAGATCTATATAAGTCTCTCACCTGGCAGCAAGAACTTGCTGGCTGCCAGAAAGAAAAAAGCCCAGAATTGAGTGGATATGATTCCACTGAGCTAGGGCTGCAGAAAAACCTTGGTTACGTAGGAAAAACCTGGCTAGAGGAAAAACACACATAAATCCTACGAAGAAGTAAGAAAATAGATATATATGTATGTATATATATATGTGTGTGTGTGTGTGTATGTGCGTGTGTGTGTATACACACACACACACACACACACACACACATATATATATCTTCAACTCCCTAGACTTTTCTTATCAGTAGAGGGAGCCATAACACTGAAAAATGTATCCTATCTGTTGATGGGGAGGAAATTGCAGTTTATTGGTAGAGACAGATTTTACTACCAATACAAAGTCATGAAATGAGACAAAATGTTAGAATAAAAGCAGTACAAAAACATGTAATATTTAGAAGAAAATAAAAAGTGGCCCTACTCTTGTTTGATCTGTGGCTATTAGCATGGTCTAGGTCTGCAGAAAACATCTAGGCTCTGAAATAGTTCCTTCAGGTAAATTAGGTGCAACTCCATCTGAAGCAAGCATTTCCCCTAAATTCTGAGTCTAGTGTTGTGATTCAGTGAGTTGACTATGGACAATTGAAGCCCACAATGTATCCATGAAACAGGAGGGGAAAGATTACTATTCACAATGTGATAAAAATACACTTTTATTTCTCTTTTCTCTTTCCCTAGTACAGCTCAGATTTCTGTAAAACGTTGAGGAATGATCATCACCACTACCACGCCATTCCAAGAGTAAATCTCCCAAAGGAGTTCAGATCCTCCCAAAGTACCATGCATAGTTCATTTCTGCAAAAAATGAATATGTACAGAAAATAAACCCACTTCTATTTGCAAGAATATAAATGGTTTCTTGTGGGAATATTCAATGTAATATGTACAGAAAGTACCAAGACATCCTTGGTCTCAGAGAAATTCTTGTGACATATGCTAGATTCTCACCTTAGAGCTTGTAAGCACCCCAGTAACTTTCCTTTGGTGATCCATCAGATTTTTTTCCCCTTTTAATTGGCCATGCTGCTATGATAATGATTTTGGGAAAAGCAAGACTCTGGCACAATGATTTTCAGCCTTAACAATTATAAATTTGTGGATTTTAACTACCAGAATTCCTCAGGCTCTTTTTCAGGGGAAAAGCTTACAAAGTACCTTTTTTTTTTGTTTTTAATGTAGCACTTCTGACATTATAAGCATCAACACAATTAACAAATTTCAACATGTAGCAGAGAATCAATGTACAAAGAATATAAAGAGTAGTTAAAAGTTTTTAATGTTTAATTTAATCTTTTTTAAAATTTCTAATCTTATGTCATTGACATTAATGTCCTAGACTTGAATTTTAATTTTGTCCATGCAGAGATATGCTGTAACAAAATTGGTATTATTTATGATTCCATTAATTTCCACTTTTTGAAATCTGTGTGACTTCTGCTATTAGTCTTCAGAGATCCTTAAGCTTTCATGGATCAAAACCTAACAGCCATCTAAATGCAAATAGAACGTAATATTGCATTTTAATTAAGTGTTGTATTGAATTTGACAGTAATGTGAGAAAAAGGACTCACATTATCAGAATAAGGCACCTGTCAAAAAAAAAAAAAGACTAGAGGTGATTAATTTAAAAAAGCACTTGGAAATGTGAGCTTTAAAACAAATATTTTACTGCATTGCATTAATCTCATTAGCCTATGGTTCTTATAAACACAATTTTCACATGCGATTCTACAAATGTGGAAGAAAACATATATCTCTAGGCATCACAAAATACAGTAATATTTATGAAATTACTGCCAAAAATCATACTTATAAATCATCTCAGGACTCACATAAAAATAACAATTACAAAGCTCCAATTGATAAAATCTCAAGGCTATTAAACAAAGTAAGAAAATGCAAATATTAAGACAAGTAGAAATGGCATCCAAGTATTTCATACAAGCTACATATTCTTGCTGATAGTTCTAATCTATTGATCTTTCACTTTGTGTCAAAATTAAACATACCACTTGTTATCTAGAAATAACAATGAAGTCATTTTTTGATATTATAAAGTAATTACTATCAGTGAACCCTCATTATACCAACAGCCCCCTTCACAAGGCCTAAGATACTAATCTTTTCATGTTTTCAATTTCCTATGCATTTCCTTGCTTCTGCAATTGTCAAACATGTTTTAAGCTCTTTTTTCTTCTGTTCTGGTTTATTCAATAAAGACCAAGGGCTGATAATTATAATGCTAGCTAGTCACTAAGAGATTGAAAAATAACTTTAATTATACTATCTTATTATTAAAAAAAAAAACAATGCTTTTCATTAGCCCATTTGCATCAACTGGTTGGAAAAATGAATTTCAGTAATGCAGAAGCTCTTAGTCCATAAATAGCCCAGTTTGGTCCAGATTATTATGGAGGTTTCCAACTTTCAGGGAGAAAAGAAGAAAATTTATCTTTCCATAGGAGGCTGCATTGGCTCCATGGAGACCAGTTCACTTCCGGGTACATTAAATATATCACCTTTAAAGCCCTACATGGCTTGAGGCCAGGCTATCTGAAGGACCACCTCCTACTATTACATCCCACCAGGACAGGAAGTCATGGTAAGTTGTGGATCCCATCTATTAGGGTTTTACATCTGATAGGACAATGAAAAAGGGACATCTCGGTGATGGCCCCTTCTCTTTGGAACATCATCTCCCCTGAGACGTAATTGCCCACACCTTAACCCTTTTCTGAAAGGCCCTCAAGACATGTTTTTTCCAGTGGGCCTAGGGACCACAAATGGAGATGGAGGCGATCGTGTGTTTGATTTGATTGTATTGCTACCAGAGTTGGGTAGGGTAGGATGGATTTTATGGATTTTTATGTTGTAAATTTTTAATGTTGTAAGTCATCCAGAGTCACCTATGTGTGAGTTGGGTGACCATATAAATTTGTTAAATAAGTGAATAAATAAATGAAAGAATACTATGAAAAAACACAAAAGCACATGCTTGCTTTTTAAGACATTGGATTGAATTGTAACTGGATGAATTATGTCAAATTAGGTAGAAGCCAGGTCATGGGGTTTCAAACAAAGATCCTTTAAAATATGATACCCTGTTTTTGGGTGCATCTCCTAAGGTGTGCAACAAACCAGAGTATTTGAGAAACACATTAGAAACAAAGCTGCTTGGAAGCTTAAGGTTAAAATACAATGGATTCGGAACTGTATCAAATTATCCCATTCCCTCTTATGATCTGGCTAAATGCAATTCATCTCCTTATATTATAAGAATATGAAGCCATTTCTCTTTTCCCAACCATATATCTTAGTGTGGTGTTTCATCTTCAGTAGCATCAACTTTCCAGTACACTTTCTATTTACTTCAGGAATAAGGAGATAACAAAGTGCAGATAATGGTTTGTGTTAACATATGACAAGTGGTCCAGCCCTAAATAGAACTGAACAAGGTAAGGTGACTGGACTTTAAAATGCAATCTGATTGATAATTTGCATAATAAACAAAATTATTTCCAATTCATGTTAAGCTAGTTTTATTCACAGATGCATGCACAAAATGCCATTTAAATGCCAACTCCACAAATACAAAACTACTTTAAAGAACACTATTTTATTTTAGAACACAATCAGACATGTAAAAAATAATCTGGGAAGGGAAGCTGAATGTCAGCATATTGCCAACCTCAGAAGGATGGAAGGCTGAGTGAGCCGTCAGTCCTGTCAGGATTGAACTCCAGGCTATGGGCAGAGTTTGCCTGCAAATACTGTGTTTTAATCTCCTCCTCCCCCCTCCTTCTTCTTCCACTTCTTCCTCCTTCTCCTCTTCTTCTTCTTCCCTACTATATTTTATTCGGTTTTATCTCACAGTAGCTATTGCATCTCACTTCACTGTAACTTATTTAATTGTATTTTACTGTGGCTGATGCTCATGTTTGATACGGTCAATTGACTAATCAATAAAGTATATTGTATTGTATTGTATGTATAAAGACCTCTTTATTTAAACTGAACTTTGAAAAAGAACATGAATTGCTTGCCTAAAGGTATTTCAAAATTGCTCCAAAACTAAGAAGATGCAACACCAATAGCATCACCATATAAGAGTTCCAGTATCTCTCCTTTTTTGCAAGCCATCTCCAAAAGGCAGATGTTGTGTTAGAGAAGGGGCATTGTCTTACTTGAACGCCCTTTCTGGGGACCGAAGAGACAGCGGTCAGGACAGGGTTAACTGCCCTAATCCAGCCAGATCAAGTCAGGAAGTTGTTAAACTCCTCCTCCTGCAGCTTCCCCAGCTTTCGGACGAGGAATGTGACGTGTTCCTGACGACGCACCAGCCAATCTGAAACAAGAAGAAACAGGAGTGTCCTGGCCGAAACGGACTGGCGGAAGGAAGGGAGGGGCTGACCACTGTCTCTTCGGTCCCCAGAAAGGGCGTTCAGGTAAGACAACACCCCTTCTAGGGAAGCGAAGGAGACAGCAGTCAGGACAGGGACATGCCAAAGCCCATGAATTATAGGGAGGGACCCGCCCGGGATGTGGAGGCCTGGTCATCATAGACCTGTTGGAGAACCCGACGGCCAAAGGCTGCCTCCGCCGATGCAAAGGCATCAATCCTATAATGGCGAATGAATGGAGTGGGAGAAACCCAGGTGGCGGCCCTGCAGATGTCGAGCAAGGAGGCCTGAGTGGCCCACGCCGCTGACGTAGCCGCACTGCGCGTGGAATGTGCAGTGATCCTTCTAGGGACCGGAAGGGAGAGAGCCTCGTAGGCAGAGGCAATGGTGGCGCGGAGCCAGCAGCCCACAGTGTGGGAGGACACCTTGAGGCCCAATGTGGAGGGCTGGAAAGATAGAAATAAGGCCTCGGACCTGCGAAAGGAGGAAGTTCACCGAATGTAAATGCGGACATCCAGGGAGTGCCAAATCCTTTCCCTTGGGTGAGATGGGTGAGGGCAAAAGTCCGGGAGGATGAGCTCCTCAGACCGGTGAAACGGAGAATTAACCTTGGGCAAAAAAGTAGGGTCTAAACGAAGGACCACCCTATTAGGATGAAAAATGCAGAGGTCCGCTCTCGTAGAGAGTGCCACTAACTCAGAAATTCTCCTCGCAGAAGTAATGGCAACTAAAAAAAGACACCTTATACGAGAGAAACCATAGGCCTACAGTGCGGAGAGGTTCGAAGGGTGCTCGAGTAAGAGCATCCAATACCTTCGGAAGGTCCCAAGTGGGGTAACGGTGCACGGGGGTGGTCTGAGAAGACAAAGCAGCTACTTGCCTGCGTAAGGTGTTGGGAACGAGCCCCGCGTCCAACCCCTTCTGGAGGAAAATGAGTACCTGTTTAGTAGATGCCAACTTCGGATCGAACCCCTGAGACGCGCACCAGCATGTGAAGGAACACCGTGTGGACCCATAGATATGTTGCGTAGCCGGGCGACGAGCCGCCAAGATGGTGTCGACCACGCTGTCTGGCAAGTGGGAGTCCGCTAGGAGCTGGCGCTCAACCGCCAGGCGGTTAACTGAAGCCAGGCGGCATCTGGATGTCGCAGCGAGCCCTGTAGGAGGATGACCTTGTCGGGAAGTAGACGCCAGGGAGGATGAACCGACAGAGCCTGGAGATCGGCAAACCAAGGCCGACGGGGCCAATGGGGTGCGATGAGGATCAGATCCGCTCGTTCCTCCAGGAGTTTCCGGATCACCCTGGAGAAGAGACGAAGGGGGGGGAAGGCCTAGAGAAGCCCGTCGGGCCAACGGCTTAGAAGCACGTCCGTGGCCTCCACCATCTGGTCCGGGAACCTGGAGAAAAAACGGTCCATCTGACGGTTGGCTCTCGTCGCGAATAAGTCCACC